AGGGCGTGTGGTGTGAGACGCGTGCCAGTTGCCGACATTGGGGTTGCTAACAGGAAATCCCCTGCATGTGGTGCTGCTACTGCTGTGATATATATACAGTATATATATATATATATATATATATATATATATATATATATATATATATATATATATATATATATATATATATATATATATATATATATATACAGTATATATATATACAGTATATATATATATATATATATATATATATATATATATATATATATATATATATATATATATGTATAGTTGTATAACACCGTATACAGTTGTAATAAAGTGTGCAGTCTGTACAGTTTAACAGAAAATGTATTGTAGAGTTGAGATTTAGGGTCAAGTGAGAGCAGATCCAGCAGGCTGTTAGAGCACAGACTGGCTATCACAGTATATAGAACAACAGATATATTATAGGGGTAATGTGACCCTAAAATGGTATAACTCACCGCTCACTGTCTTGGGTAGACTTGTGTTACCAGCCGCTCTAAGTGTCATCTTATATAATGGAGAAAACATAATTTAATGTTGAAATAGTATGTGTAAATGTTATTGCCAGACTGTTTTATAGTTATATATTCAATAATAATTATACTTTTAAATATTGAGTTTTATAGTTTAAAAGATATTTTGCCTTAAAGTGAAGAAACGTCATTCCAAGAGCATTAGACATACTTTACTCATAAACATATGCTGACTGAACCACATTATTTTATAATTTACGTTGTATTTTGATGGCATTTCATATATACTGTACTCTTAAGTCCAGTCACTGATGGACTTGTTTGACGAGAGAATATGCACAATGTTGGACTTCTCCAGCATGTCGACCCCACATGACGTTATCTAGATATATATTTAGCACGATTTTAACTGAAGCATTCCATATTATCAATACTGATACGCTATACAGAGTTTGATAGTTGCTGTTATGTGAAGTAATCATTGTCTTAATAAGGAGATAGCCATGGTTGACATCCACATTTAAATTAACAATTTTAAATCTGAGACTGCGTGGCATCATAGACCGACAAGACTAAGCACTGGACACCCCAACAATACCCATTAAACGCTATTCAACCCGACGTAAAACCCAAGATAACCATATTGCAGCCCGCCCTCCAAAAATGGGGTGGTAAATGTAAGAAGACAAATAAGTGCAATTATGTACTATTCATAGCAGTTAGGAATTGTACTTATTTTCACTTAGTATTAAATCGTACTGTCAAATATATTGTGAATATTTGAGTTTACCTGAAAAACTGAATAGAAAACCACAACCTCACCTAACCGTCTTAGTTTTTGAAGATAGTAATTTTATTGCTTCTTAATTACAATTAGTACATAACCTATAGCTATATTGATATTACAGTTTTATAAAAATAATAAAACAAAACTAAAATATATCAATAAATTGTAAAGTAACTCAGGATATTTTAAAATTTTGTATAAAATCTATATTGTTTAATAAACCTGAAAAAGAAATTCCTGATATTTAAAACTTTAATATGACAAATTAATATTGAAAGCTTCATCCTAAAGTTCTAAGCGTCTTAACAGAAAACGAGGAGAATGAAATCGGGGAGGGAGTTTGGTAAATGTAACAGCCCCATAAGTGCAATTATGTACTGTTTATGACAGTAAGAAAGTGTACTTATTACACTTAATATTAAATCGTACTGTCAATTTGGAGGATGGGTTGTCCAAGGTTGCCACATTCAAAGTTAGGCGTCATTATTGATTAATATATGAAAATTTTTGACTTCTAATTATTTACCCGGACACTGCTAGCGTGGCGTGGCCCACGCTCAGGGTAATAAGGTCATACTCGCCAGCATCTAGTAACTCTGGCCACTCAAGGATTTATCTGATTCAGTGTGAAACTCACTATAAGCATTATATCTAGGATAACCTCAATTGTTTTAAAAAGGAAATTATATACTCATCAGGCCGGCCCCCGAGGCTTGAAGGGGGGGGAGGGGGGGTCGGCCACGGCTTTAACGAGCCTATCCTGAGGACGCTAGGTTGTTCGTGGTCTCGTATTGGTCTCATGGTAATTGTCGCCACTGAGCGTCAGTTTTCAGCATATGCGTTGTACATGGTGCATGCGTGCAGTAACTTAATTGTAGCAATTACCCGTAGTTATAATGACATTACTAGCAGTAACGCAACCCACAGCACCAGCAACTTGTAGTCTTCATGCCATCAACGGCGCTCTCTCTCTCTCTCTCTCTCTCTCTCTATATATATATATATATATATATATATATATATATATATACCCCCCTTGAATATATATATATATATATATATATATATATATATATATATATATATATATATATATATATGAACCACATTATTTGGCCTGTATATATATATATATATATATGAACCACATTATTTGGCCTGTATATATATATATATATATATATATATATATATATATATATATATATACAGGCTGGCTGTCCGATGAATATCTTGCTTGTGGGTTTTGTTATGCTTCAGCTACTGGGAACAAAAAGTTCCAAGCAGCACGGGCTATGGTGAGCCCGTAATGGACTTATCTGGCACAGGAGCGGGATCTGTGGAGTGTTGTTTTAGATTTAGCTACTCAGAACGAAATGGCCATGTAACACAGGCTATAGTAAGCCCGTATATGTGGGTTTGAGGAAGCCTATTATGTATCTGTTCTCCGTATGGACTGGGGGACTGGTTATAACTGGGTGGTCCCCCCCCCCCCTGGCCGCCTGTCCGCTCTGCGCACCTCTCCTGCGCACCTCAACATATCAGTTTCTCCCAATTTTCTCTCTAGACACAAATAACTGCTCTTGGGAGTCTGTATTGTAAAGATAATTTCAACATTCTGGTGCATTGTGAAACACACTCAAATGGAAGTGAATATGGCCACCACTCATGACTGACTACACCTAACACGTGTGTTACATCATTCATCCACTACACAGGAAACCCGCCAACACCCCACCTTGAACACCTGTGCTCCCAGTACCACGTGATACCAGTTCGGGTTTAAAATACAAAATGTTGCTTCAGAGGCTGCATTAGAGAGCACAGATGATCTCGTAGGTGAGGTATGGACGCAGGCGCAGTACTGGCGAGGAGACCACGTGAGGCAGCAGACGAGGCGCTGGCCGAGGGTTGGGCTACCTTCCCATTTCTGGGAATGGCTGCTGCCAGCCGGTCCTTCCTGACAGCTTTGGGAGGTTGTTGGGGATATAGACTGTGATAATCTGGCAGCTGTCAGGTATAAGCACGTCGAGGCCACTAGTGTTAGTGGCTCTCAGGTAAATAAGCGTTCAATGAAATACAAACAACAGTTTAATTGTAACATCATGGATTAATTCATATTTGTTTCATGTCAAAATGTAAATATTCATGTTGCAAGGTTATACCATTTGACGGGGAATGATCTAAGCTGCAACGTCAGCTTTAGGCAAGTCAAAGGCTTAGCCAGGATTAATTAGTGATATCCATCATCTGATGGCGAAATACATTAGATTAAACCCGAGAATTAACAATATTTTAAATTCTATAATACTTTTCCCTGAACTATCTTTAGACTTAAGTATACTTGCTGATTGGAAAGGAGGTTCTTGTAGAGGCCCTATACCCTGCCTCTCGAAGTTAATAGGCCTATAGCATAAAACCACTCTAAGGCTAAAATGTTTGAGGGCGATAATTGACATGTTGAACGGCTGTATATCAACTGCCTGTTATATGTCCACTCCTCCCAAACATGTTAATGGTTATCGTATGGGTTAATGACATGATCAGTAGGCCTACAACTATTGACTTGTGTTATTGGTGAAATTTATCAAATTGTTTAATTGTTAGGAATATAATGCAAGCCATAATTATGGTGCTATTAATAACAATAATGGTAATACTAATTAGCAATATCCCAATGATGACAATACAGTAATTTAATAGTAATACGATGAAGTTAAAAGAAAAAACAAGTGTATTAAAACCAAATTTTCAGATGTAACCCACATCCTTTCTCAAGGTGGAAGGTACGATATTCTTCATCCTTCAAAACGCTGTCTGTATACACCACCTTGAGAAAGTGTGTAGATTACAACCGAAAATTTGGTTTTTAATACACTTACACACATGAATTAGTTCTTCACCTTCATTAAAGCATTACGGTATTGTGTCTCCACTAATACTATATAAAATCTATAATTAATAACGGTGAAGATAATATGTAATTCTTCGTTGATCACACTTATGTTAGATTTTGGGATTATTAGGCCATTGCTATACGACCTCATGATTGCGGGTTCGATTCTCTGGCGAGATAGAAATAGGTGGACACATTTCCGTTCACCTGAAGTCTCTGTCAGTCACCTAAAGTTCACCTAAAACAGGTAGTTAGGCAACAGTTTTGGGGTTGCATAGGGTCTGTAGCCCCGTCTTGGGGGACGGGGCTACCTCAACACAAGCCTAAAGTACATATATACGAATTAAATACCGAAGAAATCATTTATATTTTTTTTTTATATACATAACTCATGTTTGTGTCCTCACACGAACGTATCGTCCTAAGGTGAAGAAAGAAGCGTAACATTAAAAGTTTAATAGCATATTGAATGTCTTGATGAGTTACCTTGTGATGATTTCGGGGCTCGGTGTCCCCGCGGCCCGGTCCTCGACCAGGCCTCCTCGAGTTATAATACAGGTAGTATAGGGGTATGGTGGTGGGTAAGGGAATATAGGTAGTGTAAGGATAAGGCAGCGGGTGGTGGCGGAGGCGTGTGGCGGGTGGTGGTGGCGGAGGCGTGTGGCGGGTGGTGGTGGCGGCGGGTGGCAGCGGGTGGTGGTGGTGGCAGGTGGCGGCGGGTGGTGGTGGTGGCAGTGGGTGGTGGTGGCGGCGTGTGGCGGGTGGTGGTGGTGGCAGCGGGTGGCGGCGGCGTGTGGCGGGCGTGAGGGAGGCTGCCTCCCGGCCCAGCTGGACCCTGGGAGTCAGTGTGTGTCTTACTCTCACGTTGTCGGGCCGCAGCACTCCCGCTCCTCACAACCATGACTGAAGACAGAAGTAATTACAAGGAGGTCCCGACGAACGTGGAGGATGAGATCAAGAAGGACGATGAGGTGGTGGGCCTCAAGCCCAAGATGACCTTATTTAACGGCATCACTGTTATTGTGGGCTCCATCATCGGCTCCGGGATCTTCATCTCCCCGACGGGTGTTCTGCAGAACACCGGCAGCGTCGGCATGGCCCTCGTCGTCTGGGTCGCCAGCGGGATTTTCTCCATGGTGGGCGCTTACTGCTACGCCGAACTGGGCTGCATGATCCAGAAGACGGGGGCAGACTATGCCTACATCATGGTCACCTTCGGGCCCTTCCTGGCGTTCATGAGGCTGTGGGTGGAGTGCATTATCGTGCGGCCGTGTTCCCAGACCATCGTGGCCCTCACCTTCAGCGTCTACATCATGAAGCCCTTCTTCCCCACCTGCATGCCTCCGGACGACTCTGCTCGGCTCCTCGCCGCCGTCTGCATACGTAAGTCTGTTTGTTGTTCGTTTAGATTCAGCTACTTAGAACAAACGTTCCAAAGTAGTCCGTAGTGGACTTACCTGGCACAGGAGCGGGGCTGTAACTGCCTACGTAAGTCATTATTGTATTTCCCACTTTTGACGTTATTTTTGTCTAAATTTACGTGAGGTCTGCTCTCTCTTGGCCTCGATGGGTACAGGTAGTCGGCGGCTTGTTTAAGGGTTTACTATTATTTTTGAGGATTAATATTATTCCTTTTTGGTGCATGAATGTTTATGGAAACCAAAAAGTCCAACTACTTAGGACTGTCTCGATTACTTGCTGGTCGGCGTTCAATCCCCGACCGTCCAAATGATTGGGCACCATTCCTCTCCGTCCTATCCTAAATGCTTATCCTTATATCCCCTTTAAGTGCTATTCAAGGTAATCATCTTACCTTCTTAGACTGCGTATTTTGGTGTCTTTAAGATAAGTTTGAGACCAGTCCAGCTATGCATGTACGTTTCCCTATCGATTAATCATAACTGTGTTACCCGTTAATGTTATATTTAGTTCGTAATACGTAAAACAGTAAATAAAATGGTGTTGCAGTGATAGTCCCTATGGGTTAGGGAGGCGAGGAGCCACCCCGGTGCCTGTGGCTGGGGCGGGGCCCGGCTACTGAAAGTGACATTCACGTGTTAGGACCTTGTAGTTGTACTCCCGTGTGCTGCCTGACCCTTTAATGCCTGCTTGCATCTTTATTGTATAACATTAATAATATTTGAAGTTACTAGCTGGTAATTATATTCAATTATTTATTAATTATAAAAGAAGATTAGGATGTAGATTTGTTTCAATGTTAAACAACAATGTAACAACTCTTGTATATAATGTTTGGTTTTACGGGGGTGAGGTAACTCGGAACTGCCAGACGTAGGAAGTGTGTACATTTTTATAAACTCCAATCATCTGAAAATAAAGCAAGTGACGATGTTTCGGTCCCTCATGGGCTATTGTTTGTTGATTAATATTTGGGCTGATGTTGGGCTCTAGGCCTAATGACCTCGGGAAGGTTATTTCAGACCATAGTTTATGTGTGTAGAGAAAGAGGAACACTAGAGCATGACATGTTAGACTGACAAAAATTAGTGATTTAGAGATAGAGCTAAACTCACGCTGCATGAAATGCCAAACCAATTTTATTACAAAAGATAAAATATCTGAAATCCTTGCACCGTATCTGTTTCGCTTCTAATAGTTAAATGACATGAGATTAAGGAGCTCTTATGTATTAGCAAAAAGGCCTATACTTAATGTATATACAGTACACAGTATATGCAGTATACATACATATACAGTATCGCTCCCAGGATGAGTATAGGGGTGCACAGTAAACTAGCCGCCTCCGGTGGCAACCAGTACACATACACCAGTATGTGTATATTCACTTAGTATGTGTTACTAAGCCTAGGGCATATTTGGTTTGGTTGTTCCAGTCTTTCATTGCCTGTTTACAAAATTAAGTTCGAAACGTGGTCTTAAATTTGTTTTGTGCAACAATCCATTTTGTTTACGTTCGGCCTATAGTAGCTGTAGGTACAGTACTATAATTCTGGATGGCAGGTTAATATATTACAATACACATACACACATTACAGTATTTACTCCGGCGGCACCATACGGGACCCACGCTTTACCAACATGACAGAAAAAGAGAAAGTGAGAGAGAGAAAGTGAGAGAGAGAGAGAGAGAAAGTGAGAGAGAGAGAGAGACATGTTCACTTCCCAGAGAGGGAGAGAGAGAGGGAGAGAGAGAGGGAGAGAGAGAGAGGGAGAGAGAGAGAGGGAGAGGGAGAGAGAGAGAGAGAGAGAGAGAGGGAGGGAGAGAGAGAGAGAGAGAGAGAAGGGACAGCGTACCAAGCCACCCACCATTATTGATTTGCAGACTGGCAGAAACCCCGTTAGTGCGGCTGGCGTGGCTGCAAGAGGGGATGCAACACTGCAACCTTAACAGTGTCTGGCGTAGGAGGGTACATTTATCACCTGACACAACCACCGACATGCACTCACATTTTTTGCATTATGCCTGTTGGCGCTGTAACAAGAACTGGATAGGCTATGTAACGAATATAGAAAGTCACACTTTAGTAAGAGTTTGACGTACTCACACGGCATAGATGAGTCTACATGATTGTTTTTATAAAACAAATGAGTAATAACGTAATAATATTGTTATGCAAATAGGTTATTATACAGTAACATTATTATTATTGTTACTCATAATAGTCTAAGCTTTTTCTTGTAACGAAGTGTATCAATGTTAAATAAAATTATTAAATTGGAAAACGAACAGGGAAGCTCTTTAGAGCCTAACGATCACATTGGAGATATGGATCTAGTCCGCTTTTGGTTGGTGATGGGGGGTCGATAACTGATGGGAGTAGTTCTTACGTGTTAATGTTTCCAGAGCAGTAACTGAGGTCTAGTCATGTATGCCCCGACTATGATGACGGGGATGGGATTGTTAGCCTAATGTAGTAATGGTGACAGTAGCAGTAGAGAACGGGCTGAGATAGCAGCAAACACCAAAGTCAGTGAACTCTGCTTTTTTTTCGAAGTCAGCTTTTTTTAGGCTTCTATTTTTCCGCCGACAGTCAGGAGGCAGTAGGTGAGGATTTGGGTGTGTTGGGTTGGTGGTGGAAATGTGTGTACTTACCTAGTTGTGCTTGCCGGGGGGGGGTTGAGCTCTGGCTCTTTGGTCCCGCCTCTCAACTGTCAATCAACTTTTGTGCAGGTCCCTCAGCTTACTGGGCTCTATCATATCTACACTTGAAACTGTGTATGGAGTCTCCACCACATCACACGGAGACATGAGTGTAGTGGTGGTGCGGGGATGGTGTAGGTGTGGGAATGGGTGTAATCACGCGATAGGCTAAAGGGTGTGTGTGAACAATTGAAGTGCAGGTGGTGTTGTCAAGTAACGTCGAAATGTATAAATAGTTTCACCATAATATGGTGGAAGGGTAACATGGAAGTGCGTAGGTGTTAATGGATCAAATCTCAATTAGTTAACGATTAGCTATCAACAGCGCCTAGGCTACCAACACTGTCTACTACCATCGTGTCTAGAAAGGTGACCTCATTGTGTGAAAATCTATATTTCCTTGAGTCACGGCTGGCGACTCATTCACTGGCTTACTTTCTCGCTCCGGTCAATACTTACCGCTATGTGTATTTTTATTTTTAGAATGGATGAAAATTTAGTTCGTATAATTTTTAAACTAAAGTTCTTAAAACGTAATTGGAGTAAATGTTATTTTGAGAGTGCCAGTTGGGATTTTATATTATTTACAAAAATTAACACATTTGATATCGTAATTTATTGAACAGCTTTTTACATATTTACGGCTGATGTTCAAAGGTGGTAAAGATGTATTGTTAATTTTGGTTTATGTGTACTTGGCTGGTAAACGTTTCTTGTTTTTTAGTATTTATATTTATCCCGAGCTTCAAGAAATCTTCCCTCTGAAGATATATTAAGAACGCTGAAGTTAGACTTCTGAGAGGCGTAGGGGATAGGCTCTAGGAGACTCGAATCGTGGACCCCAAAGTTCTATCGACCGGAAAGTTGAAAATTCCAGAAACAGCAGCACGCTGCTTCTGGAAACTTTCCTTATTAAGACCACTCAATAGCTCGGTTGATAGAGCTTGGGCTTTACATGCTTGGGGTCCAGGATTAGAGACTCCTAAAGCCCAGGTGAATGGAATGTTCTAGCAACTAACGAATCATTTAAAAAGACACTGTATCACTGACAGATGCGACCCAATTCCTGCTCCATGAGGATTGGTTAACGCCACTAATTTCTGTTAAGTAAATAGGTAAAAGTAACAAATAAAGAAGTATGAAAGTAACGAGGCTGGTGTACTTTTGGAGTACAGAACAAGAAGACAAGGCAGCGCCTAGGGCCGCCTGCTCGTAGCACTATTAAACACTCAGCTGGTTAGGTCGTTTAAGTGACGTTCATATTAGCGTTGATTAACGAGTTACGTCATAATCTCAACGGCCGTTAAATTAACGAATCCATAATTCATGGAACAAATTTGAATGAATTTCTTTACTTCTAGTAAAGAAATTCAAGAGAAACGTAAAATGTCATTGTAATAATTAGTCACTCGGCAACACTACAACGCCAAGAAATTAATAATTTATTTGTTGGCAGTGAAAGGCTGAGGTTTTGGCAGTGAAGCGTATTTGCTGGTAGAGACCACGAGGATGGCAACATCAGTGCAAGTTACACCCCCCCCTCCTCTCTCTCTCTCTCTCTCAGCTGGCTTGGCTTATCGACTGTTGTATTTTTATTTGCTTGCTCCCACTTTTATTTGTGTCCCGTCTGTTGCCATGGATAAGAATTTAGTCGTAATCTTAAGCTGATTATCATGTGCTAATCGATAGTTTCCTAATCGCTTTCTCTGGGTGGGTATTTTTGAGAGCGTGTTACTGGGAAGGTCTAGTTTGTTAGACTAGTAACAAATACACAGTTACTTGTCTAACAATGTGTTTGTTTTATCGAAGTCATACGTCGACAGTACGCGGGTTTTGCCAGTACTGTTTTATAATGTTGAGGGGACTACAATATATATATTGTCATGGATTTTCTCTTTGGTTATTTTATATTAGCCATATTTGTCCTTAATAACTTGTTTTAAGTAATTGAAGCTTGCTTCAGAGTTTAATAGTGAATAGCGGGCACAGAACTGACTGCGTTTGTAGGATAGGGTGTTCGTAGGATAGGGTGTTCGTTGGATAGGGTGTTCATAGAATAGGGCGTTCGTAGGATACGGTGTTCATAGAGTGTTCGTAGGCATTGCATGTATGGGGAGTGTGCACGTAGGTTTGGTTCAAGCGTAGGCGTTGGGTGCGTGGGGGTGGGTGAACCACACAGCCATCCCCAACCATCCGCCAATATTGTCCCAGCCAGTGAAAATCCCCACGATTCACTCCACCCACTCACCCATGCCTGAGT